TTGGCTGTTCTGAATTGACGTCTGGAGCAACCGGTTTGGGGACAGTGGTTTTCTGACAGTGAGAACCATCAACCCGTGGAACAGAAGTTGCCTTCAGAAGTTGTGGAAGCCTCATCACTGGAGGCTTTCAAGAAGAGATTGGACTTCCGTTTGTCAGAAATGGTGTAGGGTGGGGGATAGACTAGATGACCTACAAGGTCCCCTCCAACTCTGTTAATCTATTAAATCTGTTAAATCTGTAGTGATACGACCTACAGTACTAACAAGGACAGAAAGAATCAAGAGCTGACTTGGTTACTACTGATATGCACTTTGCGTTGGCCCAAAACAAACCTGAAAATCTCAAGATTGTTTTATCTGGGCTGAGCCCAGGGAGCCATGCCAATGTAATATAGACTTAAAGGAAAAGGGCACTCACTCCGGAGATGTTACTGCAAATACCTCCGCCAGCCCAAAGACAGGGAAGGAGGGAGGGAGAGACGGAAGGGTTAGGGGATCAACCTGTTCTCCAGAGCAGGGGTCACCAAGCTTTCGGACCTCAGGGACCACTAAATTCATAATTTTAAATCCCACGGACCACGAATATGATCTGCCTAATGACTGGCTGGGTGGGCGTGGCTAGGTGGTCATGTGACTGGGTGGGCGTGGCCAACTCAATGTCACTCACGTCGAGGAGCGCCTCGCCAGCCTCTACTCACCCCTTCCCTCCCAACCGCTCCTCTCCTGCCCATCTGGGCTCCTTAGGGCCTCAACAGGAAGCAGTTGTTGGAGCTAAGCAGCCACCATGAGAAAGAGTTGGCAAGCAGTTCAAATTGGATCTGACCGAGAAATAGGGTCAGCAGAAGTACCTCACTGAGGACTAGGAGCATAGGCTTTCCAAGCAGAGGGAAGACCTGCAGGAATGCAAGGCCAGGTACCGGCGCCTGGAGGCTCAGCAGGCTGAGATGGTCAGCCAGTTCCAGGCCATGGAACGAGGCCCTCCAGCTCTTCCCCACCAGTGGCACTTCCCTCCAGCCTTCGCCCAAACCCCTCACCAGGAGGTTGAAGCAGAGCCCAAGTCAGAATATCTGTCTCCCTCCAACCCACACAAAAAGACCCCAAAGGGGGAGACTCTCTGCAGCAACACAAACGTTCATGGCATGTATCCGTCCCAGGGACCGTAGTTTGAGAACCCCTGATTTATTTATTTATTTGAAAAAACTTTATTGAGATTTTTTAAGAAAAAAAAAACATAAATGTACTGACATTTTCAATTAATATCGGATGTGCAGTGTTTTAACTATATACAAAAATAATACTTGGTGATATTTCAAATCACTTTTTACCGTTATTTAACACACCTTTTGGTCTTTCTTTCATTTTATCATACATCCACTTATACCACCTTTCCCACACAATATAATAATCTGACTTCTCATCATCGTTTAATTCATGAGTTAATTTAGTCATCTCTGCACACTCCAATATTTTCCTAATTGTAAGCTCTTCTGGTGGTTGGGTTTTCTCTTTCCAATACTGTGCGTATGTCAATCTGGAGGCTGTAATTATATGAATCATTAAATGAATCTTTTCCTTTCCATATGGCTTTTTTACTATTCCCAGGAGAAATATCTCTGGTGTTAATTTAATATCTTCGCCAATTATTTCATATAACCATCTCCTGATCTTATTCCAATATCCTTTCGCTTCCGGGCATGTTCACCACATGTGAAAGAAGGTGCCTTGACCGTGGCCACATTTCCAACAGTTGGGATGTATATTAGGGTATATCTTTGCTAGTCTGGCCGGGGCTAAATACCATCTATGGAGCATTTTGTAATGGTTTTCCTTGTATGTCGCCGCTCTAGTCAATTTAAGGTTCCTATTCCATGCCTCCTCCCATTCCCCAAAATTTATATCACGCCCAATATTTTTCTCCCATGCATTTATTTGATTCTTTGTGATATCTTCAGAAGATATCACAGAGAACCCCTGATTTAGTGCAATATCAAAAATGCAAATAATTTTTCTGCGGACCACCCAAATTTTCTCGCGGACCACCAGTTGGTGACCGCTGCTCCAGAGCACCTGAAGGCGAGGCAAGAAATAACCGATGGAACCCAATCAAGGAGAGAAGCAACCTGGAATTAAGGAGAAACTTCCTAACAGTGAGAACAATTCACCAGTGGAAGCCTTTGGCTTCAGAAGCTCTGGGTGTTTCATCACTGGAGGCTTTTAAGAAGAGATTGGACAGCCACTTGTCTGGAATGGAATAAGGGGGTTGGGCTAGAAGACCTCCAAGGTCCCTTCCAACTCTGTTATTCTGACTTCAGTGTCTCCTCTCCCCCACCCACCCAGCCACCCCAAAGCTCCAGTTTCCAGACTCCACTCCCCAGGTGCTACACAAGGCAACCTTTCTCTCCAAACTGACACCCACCACCGGCCACTTCAATTAATGTAAATGAAACAGGCTCTGATAGATGACCACTGGATAACTTTCTATTCACTCTATTCTAAAAAGCAATGCATCCGGTTGGAAAAAGAACAAACTCAGCCAAAATCCTTTTGGTTCCTCTAGGAGGCCTCTAAGTTGTCAGAAGAAAGGAACGTTCTAATGACATACAGCTTAAAGGTTGGTTAGGTCAAGGGGATCCACATGAGTTAAAAGTTGTCTATCGTCAGAAGATGATTTGAGTCTATGCTTCAGTAATCTACAAAAAGAATTATAACTGTTTTGCAAAGAAACTCAGTAATTAGGAAATGTCAATTAAAAATGACAAATGTATATGACCATATGAATTGCTGAGTTAACAGAATCCTTTGTCTAGAAGGGTATAAAACCATTGTACCTAATTTCTGTCTTTGTTCAACGCTTCATGTACAGAGCCTTGAACCTATTGCGCAATATATAAAATCTGTCTCTGATTAATCCAAAAGTTGTGTTTGTCTTATTAAATCCACAACACAATCACTTCAGACCCCTCAACCTTCCAACGGGAGCGGTCTTGGTGATCTCTGGGGACCCCTTTCTGCTTCCCTTGCCGGCTCTGAAACTGACGTTTCTGCCAGCGATAGAACCCGAGTGCGGAATTGACCCTTCCCTGCGTTCACACGGGACCTGGAGCCTGAAAGAAACCCGGCCGGGGTCGACCCCACCGCGAGAGCCCGAATCGGGGGAAGAGAAACGAAGCTCACCCGGGGATGGCGATGGCCCCCATCCAGCTCGCGGCCGCCTCTGCTCCGGCGGGAACGCAGGACGGGGGTCTCTTTCCTCCCACAACACGAAACAGGGTCGAAGCCCCCCCCCACGAGAAGGACACCCAGCGTTCGCTCCAGTCCCCTTCCCCATCATCCCCAGCCATCTCTCCAGGAAGGGGGCGATGGGAGTTGGAATTCCACACTGGGTGCCCAGCTGCCACTATCTCCTTTTTTCCGGTTGGCATTCCTGCTACTCCTGCGCAACTAAGAATGAGTGGGGGGCGGGGGGGGGCGAGATGGTCCGCTTTCCATCGCCCGGAGAGAGATTCTCCTGGGCCTTTCGGACCCCCGGCCTCTGCGCCCCACGTAGCGCCCGAAATTTCCCAGGTGTAAAAAGGGGTCCGGCGGATCCAGCAGAGGCGCGAAGGCAGAGAGAAGAAGAGAAGAGCAGAGGGAAGAAGAGAAAAAGAGAGAGAAAAAGAAAAGCAGAGGGAGGAAGAGAGAAGCAGAGAGAGGAAGAAGAGAAAAAGAGAGAGAGAAAAGAGAAGAAGAGAGGAGCAGAAAGAAGAAGCAGAGAGAAGAAGAGAAAAAGAAAGAGAAAAAGAAAAGCAGAGGGAAGAAGAGAGAAGCAGAGAGGAGAAGAAGGAAGAAGAGAAAGAGAGAGAGAGAAAAGAGAAGAAGAGAGAAGAAGAGAGAAGCAGAGAGGAGAAGAAGGAAGAAGAGAAAAAGAGAGAGAGAAAAGAGAAAAAGAGAGGAGCAGAAAGAAGAAGCAGAGAGAAGAAGAGAAAAAGAAAGAGAAAAAGAAAAGCAGAGGGAGGAAGAGAGAAGCAGAGAGGAGAAGAAGGAAGAAGAGAAAAAGAGAGAGAGAAAAGAGAAGAAAAGAGGAGCAGAAAGAAGCAGAGAGAAGAAGAGAGAAAAAGAGAAAAAGAGAGAGAGAAAGAAAAGCAGAGGGAGGAAGAGAGAAGCGGAGAGGAGAAGAAGGAAGAAGAGAAAAAGAGAGAGAGAAAAGAGAAGAAGAGAGAAGCAGAAAGAAGAAGCAGAGAGAAGAAGAGAAAAAGAAAGAGAAAAAGAAAAGCAGAGGGAGGAAGAGAGAAGCAGAGAGGAGAAGAAGGAAGAAGAGAAAAAGAGAGAGAGAAAAGAGAAGAAGAGAGAAGAAGAGAGGAGCAGAGGGAAGAAGAGAAAAAGAGAGAGAGAGAAAAGAAAGGAGCAGAAAGAAGCAGAGAGAAGAAGAGAAAAAGAGAGAGAAAAAGAAAAGTAGAGGGAGGAAGACAGAAGAGAGAAACAGAGAGGAGAAGAAGGAAGAAGAGAAGAAGAGAGAAAAAAGAGAAGAGAGAAGAAGAGAGAAGAAGAGAGAAGAGAGGAATTCGGGCCCGAGGGGCCGGACGGATGTCCTCCAGGGTCCCCAAGGGCTACCCGCCCGCCTTCTCAATCCCAAAGACAGACCTGCCGCCGTTGCTCTCGCCGCTGCTGGGACCGGCCCTTGGTCCTCGGGCTGCTATTTTGTCGGCTCCGTTGGGGAAGGTACTCGGGTATTCTCGGGAGGTGGGGGGGGTGGAGCTCAGGGGGGGAGGGGATGTGCCAGCCAGCCTCTGAGCATGGGCAGAGCGCCTCTGGGCTTCGCAAGGAGAGGGGCGCGTTCTGCACCTAAAGGACTCTGCAGGAAAGGGATCCGGAGACGCGGCGCCTCTGAGAGCGTGCAGAGGGCGAAAAGAGGGGTCCCTTGAGTGGTGGTGGGGGATCTTAAAAGGCAGAAGTTCTCCGCTTCGATGTTTTCAGCACCAGTTCTAAGGCTGGATTCTCATCCTCGGTTTGTCCTCCTTTACCTTCAATCTTAACCCCAGCCTTTCACTGCGTTGTTCCGCCGTTTGTTTCACCAAAGCTTGCAGATCCTGTGCCTGTTTGGGTCTAAATCAGGGGTCGGCAGCCTTAAACACTCATTTTTTTTCCCCCATTTTCATTTTATTGGATTTCTATGCCGCCCTACTCCCGAAGGACTCAGGACGGCGAACAGGCACAGGATAAAACACATAGAATGCAAAAATCTAAGAGCAGAAGTAAAATCGAATTTAAATCAATTTAGCCCAAGACAAATTTAACACCCCAGGTTAAGAACAAATTAAAATTTACATTAAAAAAGAGAATGGGAGAGGTTAGGCCAGACCAGCCTGGTGAAATAAAAAGGTCTTGAGAGCGCGGCGGAAGGTGCGTAGATCTGGGATCCACCGTATCTCCAGGAGGGAGCTGGTTCCAGATAGTAGGTGCTCCCACAGAGAAGGCTCTCCCCCTGGGGGCCGCCAGAGCCACTTGGACCCAGTTTCCTACAGAAAACAAAAACCACACACACACACCAGGAGCCACAAAACCTGGGTGGGCATGGCCAACTCGATGTCACTCCCACCCAGTCACTCCCACCCAGTCACTCCCACCCAGTCACCCAGTCCCATCCAGCCACGCAACCATTCTCTGTGTCTCTCTCCCCCACTCCCCCGCTTTCTGTATCTGTCCCTCTCCCTCTCTTCCCCTCTCACCTTCTCTCTCTCTCTCTCTCTCCCCCCTCCCTCCCTTTGGGCAATTGTCCTCCTCCTCCCCCCTCCTCTCATAACTCCCTGGCTGGGAGCAAAGCACAGCAAAGGCACATGCGGGGGTGGGGGGGAGGGGGCGGCTGCTCGCTTAAGGAGGGTCTTAACAGGACGCGGCTTCTCTCCTGCACTAATGCTCCAGTCGTTGCCTGGCCATGTCATCACCCACCCCTGGCAGCTCTTCGGCCGGGCGCGGAGGGAGCGTCTTTCCTGAGGGAGGAACTTGAACTCTGTTGAGGCCATTGAAAAGTTCACGCGGAGGTGTAACAGTTGTGTCAGATGTAAATGCCTTATTCCCTAACCTGTAAATAATGTATATATGGGATATCAGGGGTTAACTTATTCTTTGTTTCCTAATGTATTCATAATTCACCACTCCCATCCTTGACTCCGCCCTTTGTATATATAAGGAGCCACCCTCACCATTTCCCTTGCTTCTATCTGTAAATATTCAGTGAATATAGAATGCCTGTTAAGATTAAAGAGAGATATATTTAAACCTCTAATCTTTATTATCATTATTGAGTCTGATCCTAAAAATATTGCAACAAACTGGTAGCAGAGGATGGTTAATTGACTCAATAAATAATTAAAAATGTCTAAGAAAGATAGGCCCAACACCAGGGCCTACAGCAAAGAAATAGAAACTGAACAAGAAATAATCAACGAATACACAAACGCGATTTCGAGAGAATCCGAAGAGTACACCACAGAAGAAGAAGAACTAATAAATGAAAATAATGACCAGGAGGAAATCGAAATAGAAAATAACGAACTCAGGTCAGAAATATTAAAGATATTAAAAAGTCAGAAGAATGATGAAAGTCTCATCGCGAATCTCCAAGAAATGCTGAAGAACAGCGGAGCAGCGAGAGAGAAAAACATCGCTAAAGAGAAACCCAAAGACCAAAAAACTGTGAGTGATATGACTACAGAGAAAGTCGTTATGAAAAAGAAAAGATGTGATGCCGCGCGAAATTTTGAATGGCAGCCATCTTGGTTTCAACAAGCCTCCAAAGGGAGCGAAGCAGAGCCAATCAAAATGCTCAGTTCAAAATTTCCGGCGCGAAAAACGTTATCTGACAACGAAAGTGAAAAGGAAGATTCGAAATCTCCAGAAGAACCCGAATCAGATAGCGAAGACGATTTTACCAAATCCCAAATAAAATCAGCAATGAAGACGCTTTTTGCTGCATTTGGGCCAAAATTAAAAATCTCCAAAGCGCCAACGAAGAAGCAAAAGAACAAGCCGATACCTCAAGACCTACACGCTCCCATCCTGACTTCGAGAGCGACGACGCCCGAGCCCAGAGAGCCATGCCGATTCCGCCCCACGCCGCAGACCGGATCAAATATCAACGCACACAGGAGAAAGAGAAGAACAGCCGCCGCCATCAGAACTCCTAAAACCGAGCCAGAGACCGACTCGTCTGAAGAGGAGCAGAGCGAACGAGCTGAAATGGAAAGAACCTTCCACGACGATGCCAAAGAAGAAATGAGCAACGCGCATGTGCGAAACCACGTAGACGGTCCGGAAAGACTTGAACTGGCCAGAGAACCGCGCAGACTCGTTGCGAGCATCCCTATGCCGTTTTGCAATTTCCTGCACTTGCGAGATCACGGACTACCTCAGGTTGTAAGTAATGGACAAAATAATGTGGGAAACTTACCCAGTGACTTCCCAAAACTTAGAGTTGATGGCATTAATTTGCAAGAGTGGTATCAACAGCTCCAGGTTGTCTTTATGAAAGAAAATTTACTATTCTTTATCACTAGTCCTCCAAGAAGACCTTGGACTTTAAAAATAGATTGTTTGCATCATAGAGCATTCTTCTTAATAATATCTAGCGTATCTCCTGCAATGTATCATAGTATCAAACCAAACCTAACTGTCTCAGAAATAATTCAATGCATGTTTAATCTATTCCACAGCGACAGTGTAGCTACCACTACGAGAATGTCTAAGGATTTCTTTTCTTCTAGAGTAAAACCAGGGGTTTCCATAAGTGAGCATTTGATATCTCTAAACAAAATAAGAGCTGAGCTGCATCTGAGGGGGGAAGTGATTTCAGATCAAACAATGAAAAGTGTTATTATCAATTCACTTGATTCATCATGGGATAGTTTTATGTCACACTTAGACACCATCAATCTAGGATATTTATCCATAGAGAGTCTATCTAACAAATTGATAGCTGAAGACAATTCAAGAAAAAATCGTTCTAGCAATCACACAGAACACAAACCCTTTAGGAAGGTAGCTTTCCATGAAAAATACAATGAAACTTTTAAATGCCACAATTGTGGGTCCAGGGAACACAATAGAAGAAACTGTCCCAAAATATCAAAGGAGAGACATAGGCCAGAATATAGAAGCAGATACAATTATAGACAGTCTTCCACAGATAGATATAAATATAGAAGCCCACCAAATTACAGAGAGAATAGAGGGGGTAGAGAAAATTCAAAAGAGAGAAAATCTGGTTCACTGAATGGACTAAATAAACAAGACAGCACTAAAACACAACAAAATGAGAACAATAATTGGCTTATCGATTCTGGGGCAACCAATCACACCACTAATAACAAAAATATTCTATCTTCATTTACAGAAGATAAGTTTGTAATAAAGGTGGCTAATCAAGAAAAGGTTCAAGTATTAGGCAGAGGAAACATAACATTGCCTGGTCTAGGAAAAATAGAGGGGGTATTGTTAATCCCTGAAATACCTCATAACATACTAAGTGTCATAAAACTAAGTAGAGATTCTGACATCAATATAGTTTTCTCAAAGGGGAAAGCATCCTTAGAGAAGGACAAAACAAATGTTGGTACTGTGATGATTAAAGGAGGCCTACCCTATCTAGTAACAAAAGAAAGATGGTTACATAACATTGACTCAAATATGGAGGATTGTATTGAGGCAGATGATGAAAATGTTAGTAACAGTGACAATGATGAATGTGAAATATCTCATGATCACACAAATACACACAAAGAGAAGAGACCAAGAATAGGTAAACCAATTCATGATGAGTGTGCTCACATATTACATAGGAAGTTAGGACATGCAAGTTTTCCTGTAGTACAAAAAATGACTGAACACGCAGAAGGTGTCAAAATAAAAAATTGTGAAAATTATTTGGAATGCTCAGTATGTAAATCAACTAAACTAAAAACTAGTCCCAGACCAAAAAAATCCAACAGATCGACTAACAAAATTTTTGATTTAGTACATATGGACTTAGTTGGTCCATTAACTCCATCAATCACTTATAGAAAGCGTTACTTCCTAACAATAGTAGATGACTATAGTCGCTATGGTTTTGTTTACACATTAAAACACAAGGATGAAACCTTTCAGAAATTTAAGGAATTCTACAAACGCATAGAAACACAACATAATATCAGAATAAAACAAATTATGACAGATAGGGGATGTGAATTCATGTCTAAAGAATTCTCCCAATGGTTAAAGGATAGAGGAATGCTACATTTCACGTCTAGTCCATTTTCTGCGTTCCAAAATGGGGTTGCAGAGAGAAAGAATTCCACACTGCAAACCATGATTAGATGCACATTAGAGGATGCTGGTTTAGGCAAACAATTTTGGTCAGAGGCCTTACATTATTCAAATTACACTCAAAATAGAACCTGGTCCAGTATTGTGAATAAAACACCATATGAGGTGATGTATAATAGGAAACCCAAATTAGCACACATGCACATATTTGGAGTCACTGCAGACGTACATATACCTAAGCAGTTGAGAAGGAAGGGAGAAAACGTATCCAGAAGATTAAGATTTATGGGATATGAAACAGGCACCAAAGGATACAGATTCATTGATAATAATAACAAATTTATAGTCTCCAGAACAGCTGTGTTCCATGAACAAGCAAATTGGTCTAAATTACATCTTAATGAAATATTTCCAGATAAATACAAAGATACAAAATCTTGTGAGGAAGGAACAATAGAAAATCAAAATATCAACAAAAATACAAACAAAACCAAAACTTGGACAAATAGTCAGCACAAAATAAAGACAGACACATTAACAAAAAAGGAAGCAAGATATTTGCATGACAACCATAGCAAACCTGAAAGAGCTATTAGAAACAATAGAAATCAAATACCAGGTAAATACAGAGATTATATAATGCATATGGATGGTGAACAAATAACACCTAATACATATGAGGAAGTATTAAAACTCCCTTATGAAGAAAAGGAAAAATGGGAACTAGCTATGAAAAAAGAGATGGAAAGTTTGCAAGGATTAAATGTATTCACACCTGCGACCGCACCTAAAGATAAAACAATCATAGGTACTAGGTGGATCTATAAAATTAAGAATCTAGAAGGAGGCAATACTCTATACAAAGCCAGATTAGTTGCACAAGGTTATGCACAAAAATATCCGGAGGACTATACTGACACATACTCTCCCACAGTGAGAACAGAGAGTGTTAAAACAGCTCTGGTAGTGGCATCTGCACTCAATCTTGATGTATTCCAATATGACATACAGACTGCGTACTTACACGCGAAACTAGATAAGGAAATATATGTAAGGGCACCACACAGTCAATACACTAATAAGAATGAAATCTGGCT